ATTTAAATTTAATTTTCATATTATTTATCCTACAATGTCTTTAAAAAATATTTTCTGATGTCCTTATCAATATTTTATAGTTATCTGTAAAATAGATTATTCGCTATATTGGTTAAAATTACTTGATTGTCATTTGATAATTAGATATACTGTAAATCTACGACATATAATATTCCACTGCTTGTATTGTGCTTAAATATTTTTTTAATACATGATTTAATTTTATCAATAGTTTTAAAATTTTATTTTACTTTTATTAAGATTAATAAATTAAAATTACACACTTTATAAAAAATTATATTTGATATATTATATTATTTAGTAACTTTATGGATCTATTATTAATAATTATAATACATTTCACTTCTGTCTTAGACTTATCTTTGGCTTATATTCCATTTATTAAAAAATATTTTTGGTTCATTTTATATATTTATAAATTTATTTTCCCAAAAATCTATAAATTATGATGAATAGTTTTATAAAAAAATATCAACTTTTACATTCTTTCTTTTAAATTATTATTTAAGATATATGCATACATATTTGAGGGTCAGGGAGTGGGGAGAGGACTAAGGGGGGTATTTTTTATTAGCTAAAAATGATATTTACAAAAAGTGATAAATTTCTGAAGGGGGGGGGGAATTTCCCCTTGTCCCCCCTCTGGCTACGCCTATGAGATTGATCTAATTCCGTCAAGTCCATGCGCTGAGTCACGATGAAATGATAGGATTGCTTTCCTTACTTCTTCTGGTGTGAAGTCTGCTGCACAATGCGTGTAAAGCTGTGTAATTATTGGGTTAAGAGTCGAAGTCGGATGTTTTGAGCGTAGCTTGCTTAAGGTTTCTTCTGAGAAATCAGCAAGGGTATCATTAGTCGAAATGAGTTTGAGAGCCCCTTTGATGTTAATACTATCGATTTTCTTCGAGATCAATGAAGTTTTTTGCTGGAGTGGAGTTACTTTTTTTGTTTTGTTTTTTGGATGTGAATAGATTTGGGTATCTTGAAGATGGCTAAGGATATTTAAACTGGCGTCCTTTATTTGTTGAGTTATGGATTTCTGGACTGATTTGTCAGGTATTTTAAAAGTATTGTAGCCGAAGTAGAAGAATTTTAACTTATATGTAGTATTGAGAAAATTGTCTGAGAAAGTGGTATTAGAGGCACGGTTTGAAGGTGGTTCCAAGAATGAGTTGGGAAGTGAGTAAGCCATATGAGAGAGAGGAGCAAGTCTAGAATGAGGACACCTATTCGAAATTGCTCCATGAACATAAAAATCACCTTCATTTGTTAAATGTATAAGTTTCCGGCAAGTAGGACATATTTTGGATTCGAATGAGGTAGCCAATTTTATAAATCAATACGCGATTGAATTAGAAAAGAATAAGAAAAATGGCGAATATATAGCCATATTTAACGTTCATACGCAGTAAGAAATCACATGATCTGTGCGTCGAATAAATCTTTCTTAACTATATATTTTATAATAAAAATATATTAAACTTTAAAAATGGAATGCCTGATTGTATTGTATGCGGGGGTTAAAAAATATTAGCACTCGAAATTTCTTTATGAACTCAAATGTTTTAGAACAAATTTATAGTATCAAAGCTTTTAACTAGACTTAATATAAATTTTAAAAAAAATTTCATAATTTATTTTTCCTCGTGGTGTAAAATATTGTGGCAGTACAAATTTATTAGTAGAATCAAAAGTTTTGAGTATTTTTTAGTATCACTATCCAGCAAACTGACCCAGCAAGCCGACATAGCAAGCAGGGGCGTCGCTAGCCTTTACAATCTCAGGGGGCTCAACATAAATAATTAAAACAATATGAAATTTCTAAAAACAATATGACATTTCTAAAAATATTATTTTTTAATACAAAATCTATTTATTACAAACTAAAATATTTTCGATTGCTTATATAAAAAATTTGCGTCTAAAGAATAACAAGTGATAAAAAAGGTTAATTAATTCATACATATGCCTAAATTGTTAATGGTTTTTAAAAACGACATATTATAAATTAACAACTTACATTGACAAAAGGTCAAGAAACTAAAACACTCTGTTACCATTTTTATACAATGTTTTATAGAATGGACTAATAAGGAAAAATTTATTGGCCTAACCAAATCAACAATTCTTAGAGAATATAAACGACCAATCCAAATCATAAAACTATATAGTGGTTAGAGCTTGCTCTTAAATGACATGATGGAAGCTAGATAAGTAATTGAGAAAAAAATTGTGAGTTAAATATCTAAAAGATTATCTTCCATTTTTAATGATATATAAACAACTACACAGTTGACCATTATTGCTTATAAAATATGCAATCATATGCTCTCAGCAGCTGTAATAATAATCTTAAATTACCAAGCCACATAAAAATAGATGCTGGGTAATTTGCAGTCATAGCACTATATTAACTTATATCAGAATTTATTATGCTAGATAAATTGATAAAGCAAAAACACAAAAAATCTATAAAAGAAATTATGCAAATGTATTGAAGCCTTAAGTTATTTACAAGGCAGGGATGCCATATTAGAAATGAAACATTTTGTAACTACAAAATAAGAACCAGAGTGATATCATGAAAGCAATTAAGATTTTATATATTATTGTCGCACCATCTCTAGTTGTTATATTATATCTTAAAATAATAGTAGTTTGTAATAATATTAAAAATATATTCGTATTAAAAATTTAACTCAAATCTATATTCCGAAGAAGAAAAAAATAGCTTCCTAAAAACAAGTAAAAAAGAGAAGATAAGATATCTTGTGAGATGAATAATAATACGTTTAATTTTAATTATATTTTAAATATATAGATGGCGTTAAATATTTGTAAGCAAATTGTTACTTATATTTATTATTAAAAGCATTTATTAGTAAAATTTATTAAAATATTAACTGTAATATATTATATAACTGTCATATACGTCTGTAAATGTGGTATTTAACCTAATCTTCTGTAATCAATTATATCTAATAGAGGATTATAAACTATATGTTTACTTACTTTTTATAAATAAATCTCTTATACTTATTTCGATTTGGACCTTGAAAATAATTTTAAGAAGAGGCATGGTAATTAAATTTAAATATCAATAATATAATTGATTAGTGATTTTGAACTCGGCTAATTAAAATATTAAATTTGATAATTTTCAATTAATAGGGTTATATAATAATTTAAATAATAGTCAGTAAAGCTTCAACTGTTAATGCTAAATTAATATTTAGTGAGTAATATTAATATTCTATTTTTAACACAGAATTTGATTGCAAGCTGACATAGTGAAAATATAACTTATAAGTATTGATCTAATCTAATAATTAAAATAGTATTCATTTAAGAATAATTTAGATAGACTTATTAATTTTTAGATTAAAAAATTAAATCTATATATTACACAATAAAATTATAAAAGAAATCATTCAGTGGGCAATCAAAAAAATTTATTTTTAGTTCAAGGGGATATTAAGGAGCCATCAAAAAAAAAATTTTTGCTTCAGGGGGCTATTCAAATATTTCAGGGGCGCGAGCCCCCGCGCCCCCCCCCTAGAAACGCCACTGATAGCAAGTCAACCCAACAGTCCAACCCAGCTAGTCGACCCAGCAAGCCAATCTAGCAGGCCGACCCAGAAAGCTAACCCACAAAACCAATCCAGCAGGCCGACCCAGTTAGGCCAACCTAGCAGACCTACCCAACAAGTCGACCCATTAACCCAACCCAGCAAGTCGATACAGTAGTCCAACCCAGCAAGTCGACCCATTAACCCAACCCAGTAGGCCGACCCAAAAGCCAACCCAGGTCGGCTCAACAAGCTCAATGTGGGTCATGGTCGATTTTTCTACCCTGGTTCAGGGTTGAGCCGATTTTTACGACTTAGACTTGGGTTCCTGGTCAAAAAAAATTAACCATGAATGTAAATTGGGGGGAATGGGATAAAATTTTTAATGGGAGTTAATAATGTTATTAGGGCCGGGGTGAGGAGTGGACTAATTGTATTATTATTAACTAGTTGATAACCCACCAAGAATGACGGGAATAAAAAAATCATGAACTATTACAGGAAAATTTTTTTTGAATCTTAATTAACCTTCAAATTTTTTAGAATTAAAATGCTCAAATAACTACTCCAAATAATTATTAAAATATCAACTAAAAATAATAAAGATATATTTTATTTAACCAATCAAAAAATAATTATATAAAAAAAACATATAATAGTGGAAAAATTTATGATTCCCATCAATCTTATATTCTCAAGTATAAGATTTATCTTTAGAGATAAACTAAATTATTTAAATAATAATATTTCACACATTATTATTTAAAGTCAAATGGACTCTATATACCTATTTATTTAATGGAATTAAAATACTCAAATACCTACTCCTTAGTACATATTACATTTTAAATTTAACAAATAAATTTAAATTATATTTAACCAATTGAACATTAAAAGTCATAACAAAACTTTTCTCTCACCAGTAATATGTGATCTCTGGAATACCAATTTAGCACCAAGTAAAATCCAACCTTTTAAATTAAAACGTCGTTAATTTCCTATTCTCCCATCTTTTGTTATTACTATTAATAAAAGTCAGTTTCAAACCTTCGACCATGTAGACCAATGACATTAATATTATAGACTGCCGATCGTAATGCTAAAATCAAATTTGAAATGGCAAAAATTGAAGTGACTGGTGGCCATTTTGTGTTTGTATCCTTTACGAAGGAATGATAATTTCATAAATTTCAGGTATATTTTTATTATGTTTATATTTATAATATATATATTCTAATTAAACACCAATTTATTATTTACCTTATATATTATAGTATATATGAATCAAATAAAGGTCACTACTGAATATTTTACTTGAAATATTTCTGCTCTTTATTAACATTTGAAATTTATTATTTAATAATGAATATCTTTTATAAGAATTCAATTTAATATTTTTTAATTACTAAAAGATTTAAAATGGTAGTATATTGCTGAGGAAGCAAAATTTCCTTTCATAAGTATGATATCTCAAAATAATTATTCTATTGTAAAAATTATTTATGGCATATTTCCTATGATAGATAAAATATTATTACAAAAGTGGACCCATGCTGTGAAGAGAGAGAACTTCAATGTAACAAAATATAGTAAATTATGTTCAAAGCATTTTACACCAGATTCATTTATTCCATCTGTTACAAATCATGTTCAATTAAGAGAAGTAGCAATACCATCAATTTTTAATTTTCCAAAGCATCTTCTAAAAGTAACAAAATAATGAATAATAAATTATAACATGCAGGTTTCCTAGAAGCCAGATTAATTAAAAATACATGAATATTTTTTTTATAGAAATCAATTCTAGATTTCTTTTGTATTTTTATAATTTATGTCTTATGTCTTTTATGTTTTATTTTTGCTTATAATTATGTTATTCCTTAATAAATATAAACTATCCATTTCTAAATATATTTCTTTATTTAAATTTAATTCACTAAATTATAATAATCAATAATATTTGATTTAAATATAATTTGATCTGAAATCTTTTATAAAATTTAATTTGATCTGAAATCTTTTATAAAATTTAATATATTTTAAGAAAATGGTAATGTAGACCCATGCTTTGAAGAGAGATGACTCAAATTTAATTATTTTCAAGGCATTTTACACCAGATTCATTTATTCCATTAGTTAAAAGGCATATTCAATTGAGAGAGGGAACGATGAAAACACTAGGAATAATTATGATAATAAAAATTCTTGTAATAATATAATTAGGAAAATAAATAATTTAAATGATGAAGAACCAATCGACCTAGAAGAATTAGGATTATTCGAACCTGATTCTAATATACAAGATGCTTTTGAATGGATAAATACCCTCCTCAGCCCCCGTTGAAAGATTATTTAGCTTTGCTAATATTTGTACTGTTGTGTCCGTTTATATTTTGCCTTTACATCATGTTATATTACATATATAATAACAATGACATAATATATATAAAGAGATTAAATACAAATTTTCCACTGTATTTCCCCTTTGAAAACAATTTTTTTTTATTGTTAAAAGCTATAGTTTTGTTATAAATATTATATATATAAACTATTATGTAAAGGTATTAAAAAATTGGACATTTTTCAAGTAGAGATGGAAAAAAGTATGATATTCACCACTAAAAATTTTCAAATAATTGACGTAGTAAATCTGGATGAACAAATTTATCATACTAATATTAAAAAGAAAGATAAAACTATAATTTCGAGTCTATCTCAAAATGTGATTAAAACATTTAAATTAAAAGATATTAATTACATAATTAAATTTAAAGAAATATTAGTAATTAAAGAAGTTGATCATACAAATATTGAAGTAAATTATAAAATTAAAAAAACTTTTATAATTAATAAAAAAAATGATAAAGGATCTAGATAACATAAAGTTGTAAAGACTATAAAACCTAAAAGTATTATGAGAACAGAGGGCTATAGCAAAACTAAACAATTGAATTTAAAAAAAATCTTCATAAAAGTGAAGAGGGCATTGATTTCTAAAAATTTAAGACTTAATTTATTTTTTTAAAGTTATTTGAAGAAAAATTATTATATGAAGAATAAGGGTTTTAAATTTAAAAGTTCTTTAAGAGAGGGAAGTGTGCATAATATCTTATTTGCATATTTTAACCTCATGGATTTAAATTAATAAATATAAATTAAAAATAATAGTTTATACTAAAACGCTTATACCAAAACGCAAAAAATATTAAAACGCTTATAATAAAACGCAAAAATTAAAACATTGAAAATATTATTTAACTCTTCACTACATAGGTGGAAAAAACTCCCGCAGTTACATAGGTGGGGTCTATTTTACCCCAAATTTTAAATAGCTATATCTCAGAAAATAATAAATTTAAGACCTAAAATTTTACACACTTATTGTAAAAATATTAAAGATAATAAATACAAAATTTATAGATTTCCATTTACTTCTAAATAAAGTTATGGTATTTTTACTAAAGTTGCTCAAAAAAAAATATCTTTTTTTGGAACTTTCCTTAATCATAAGATATGACCAAAAATAAATGAAAGGAAGCAAATTTGATTATATATTTTATTAATTCAATATTTTATAGTAATAATTAAATAAATTTTATAATAAAACATCAGATAATAAAAAAAATATTTGATATTAAAGTTCATGCATCTTTTTTAAAAACATTCACGACATGTTACATACATATGATCTTTGCATATAAATTATGAACAATTTGAACAAATAAATGAGGATTTCTTGTCCCTAACCCTTGGACAAGAGGAGCACCTTCCTTTTTGTTTGGTTGATATAGGTTTTAATTCTTCTATATTAAGCATATTCCCAATATTATCCCTTAGCAGTTTATTAACATGTGGGTTTTTGTACTAATATTATAAACTTTGATCTATTAATATCCTTTAAATTATTGGACTTATAAATTATTAAAGAATTTATGCAAGATATATTCAACAAATTATAAAAAATTGCCATAGGCCATCTATTTGTTATTCTGGATATTGAATAATTTGAACATAGCTGATCCACAACATCCCTTGGTGAGATTGTAAAATGTGATAATTTCTGGTTTTTTTAAATCCCCAGTTGACGTATCAATATTGTTATCATAGTGAAGGGTAGAAATCATCATGCTTATACTTTTTTGGTACATATGATACTAATGTCATATTATCTTAGCTGGCAAATAAACTTGAACAAGTATCTTTCTTTTTAAAATTAAATGATGTTGGAAACTGCTTTTTATTTTTTCTTAAAGTTCCTACTATTGTTAATGAATGGAAATTTAATAAATGTATAGCAAGTTCATAACTGGTAAACCAGTTATCTGTAGTGACATTCCTATTACTCTTAGAAATGGGCTGAATTAACCTTTCAACCACATCAAAAGGCTTATTTCTCAATTTATATGATTCTTCAGGCTGATTGCCAGCATATAATAATGTCACTAGAATAATTCAAATGATATTTGTTGTGATTTCTCTCTAACTTCATGAATCTTCATAGTTACTTGAATTAAATAACAATATTTTTGTAAATCAATATTAAAAAAAACTTACATATATTTAAATATAATTATATTTAAAAAATTTTAAAAATAACTTACTTAGAAATTTTGGGAATCAATATTAAGCAAAACACCTAATTAAAAAAAAAATACGAGCTAGTGGGGAACGCCTTTATTTAACAGCAATAAATGGTGTAATATAAAGTTATTTTATTTTTTTATTCAACACGCTTGTTTTACAAACAAATATTAACCCTTCACTACAAAGGTGGAAAAAACTCCCTTAACTACAAAGGTGGGGTCTATTATACCCCAAATTTTGATTAGCTATATCTCAGAACATATTAAAAATTGAGATCTAAAATTTTGAGTATATATTTAAAAAATATTGGAGATAATAAATACAAAATCTTAGATTAATATTTACTTCCAAAAAAAAGTTAGACAAATTTTCCTAAAGTTACTGAAATAAAATTTTCTTTTTGAGTACTTTCTTTAATTATGGTATTATCACTATATAAAATTCAAAAAATGCAAATTTTATTAAATATTTTATTAAATCAATGTTGAATAATGATAATTACATAAATTTTATAAAAAAATATCATATATCAAAAAAAATATTAATCATCAAATATCATGTAAAATTTTGAGATAACATTCGAGGCAAATTGTGGGCATATGATCTTTACAAATAAATTTTGAACAATTTAAGCAAATTATTGTTGTTTTTTTTATCTTTCACCCTTGGACACTCATAACATCTTCCCTTTTTATTTATTGGAATATGTTTTTCATCAATTATGCTGAGAACGTCCCCTATGTTGTTACGTAATAGTACGAGGGTTCTCATATCTACTGGTCATAAAAGGAGTTATCAGTTCCATAGCTAATAATTTTATAAATTTAGACCTTTTTATATTCAACAAATTATTGGCTTTATAAACTATTAGGGCATTTATTATTGAAATATTTATCATAGTATAAAAAATGGTAAGTGGCCATCTATTTGATCTCCTAGATATGGAATATATTGAGCAAAGTTGATCCACTACATCAACTCCTGCTTTGGTTAAATCATAGTTATAATTTCTGGTTTTAACAATTCACCAGTTGTTACATCAATTTTATTATCATAATGTAGTGTTGAAAGCAACACTACATTCTTATACCTTTTTGGTATATATGAAACAATAGTATTTTCTTTGAATCCAAATAAACTTGAATATATTTCTCTTTTTTTATTAAAAAATAATGCAGGTAACTGCTTTTTATTTTTTTTTAATAGTCCCTACTATTTTTAGGGAATGTGAAGATAAATAATTAGCTAATTCATAGCTAGTAAACCAATTGTCCATTGTAATATTTCTATTACTTTTTGAAATTGGTTGAATTAGTCTTTCAACTACATCAAATGGCTTGTTTGACAATTTATATGGACCATCTGGCTGATTGCCAGTATATAATTCTGTTTTTAATGTATAAAAAGTTCTAGAATCAACTAGAGCATATATTTTCAGACCATATTTTGATGGTTTATTTGGCATATATTGCCTAAATGGACATTTTCCTTTGAATGCAGGAAGCATTTCATCAGTAACATATTGTCCAGCAGAATAAGAATTATTGCAATTATCATTAAAAATATCAAAAATTTCTCTAATATGATCAAGTGCTTTCCTTGTATTTCTTGTATTCATATCATCAAATCTAAGCACTTTCAATAGAAATTGGAATCTATTTATATTCATAGTATATCTAAATAAACACCAAATCCTTCCTTATTCCATAAATCTCTTATATTTTGATGACTGGATTTATAAACTCCGGCTATCATTAGTAAACCAACTAAAGCATTCAATTCATTTTCATCCATTTTGGCATGATAAACAGAGTCATCTTTTTCAATGGACTCAATCTTTTGATTTGTATATTTTAAAACTAAATCTGTAATATTAGGTGAAATGAACAATTTGAGGCTTTCTATGGTGATTTTGCATTTTTTGCATGAGATTTAACCCCTGGCAAACATAATATTATATTATGGGAACTTGTCCTTTTTTGTGTAGGGCATTCCATATTACATTTAGTTTTTCCATCTTTACCTTCATATTTTTATATAATTTATTAAAGACTAGCATATTTTACTGTGACAATATTTATAGCTATCTTCACACACATAATATCTATATTGTCCTCCTCTGTCTCCGAGTTGTGATTGCTGTTATACAAATAATCATCATCTGACTCAAAATCTACTTCACCTATATAAATTTTATAAATATCAAATATTAAATAGAAAATACTTCCAGCACTTGATGATATTAAATTTTCCATATGCTAATTTTATAGTATTTTGCTCCACAAGAAAAAAAAATAGTATAAAATTTTAAAATTTTGAGTAACAATATAACAATGAAAAATTTACAAATAGAATTTTTTTTTCATATATTAGTTTGTAATATACAATAATATTTATCAATAAAAAAAAATTGTGAAAAAAAAAATTACTTAAGTACAAAGGTGGGACCTATACTACCCCAAGCTCAACAAATTGCAAATATTTTAAAAAATATCAAATCAATTATCTTGAAATTTGGTAGATATATTCTTTATAAGAAAATATTAAACTACTATAAAAACTAGGTCAAAATATCTTCAGGTTTTTTTATTACCAAGATTATAAAAGCCGTGGGGTATTGTAGTGAAGGGTTAAAAAAAAGTTGTTTATTATTTTTTTTAATAAATTTTTTTTTACGTATTTTTTTTAATAAATTTTTTTACGATTTTTTTTATCTAATGGAAAAAAATGGTAATTTTAAAATTGATGCTTATTTAATATATTTTTATTTAATAGGAATTAAGATATTATTTAGAACTAAAAGATTTTTCTACTTTAAAACAGGTTGTGAGTAATTATGAGAAGAATAATCATCAGCTCATTATTCTTCTCAAAAAGGATTAATTTCAGATAAAAATTCATTATTTTATGGGATAAGAATATAATGAAAAATATTAAAATGCCCATAAAATACAAACGAGGATCAATACACAAAAGGCCTAAAAAAATGCGAAAAAAGAGTATTATTTAAAAATTATAAAATATTTCACAGTTAGCAATTTTTGAAAATGATATTACAATATACATGTATTTTAAAAAAAGATTTTTCCCAAGCTAATCAAAATATGACTGAAACGATTAACCTACCACATTCCAATACAGAAAACACTCAACTATATGGTATCACTAAAAATTAAATGTTTATTGTTTATTAAAATACATTAGCAGTCAAATTATCTTCATCTCAAATTATTTCAAAAAATATGTTAGGCACTCAAGTTCAGAGAGTAAACATTTTACTCAACAAAAAAATAGCAACAAACTTATATTCCCAATATCATTTTCAAAATGTACCAAAAAATTTAGGCCCTCAGTCAAAAACTATTCCAGCTAGTATATTTTGTGTTTTAATTTTTATTAAATATAAAATAAAAATAGCATTAGAATTCTCTTCATCTCAAAATATTTCAAAAAATATATTAGACACTCAAATTAAGCTACCAAATAGTAAACATTTTTCCTTTACAAAAATTATAGCAACCAAAACTTTAGACTACACTGGATATTCTCTTCAAAATCTTTCAAAATTTTTTTAGGAAACCATAAATAAAACAAATAATTATATATTTAGAATGTTTATATTAAATTTATATATAGGAACCAAATACAATCTAATAGAGCTTCCAGAAAACAATACAATCAAGATTTCAAAAACCTAATAAAAAGCAATTTATAATTTATATTGTATTCTAATATATCAAATTTTATTTCTGTATATATATTTACAATTATAATATATTATTGTATTTTATAATACATAATTTTAATTATTTATATATAGAATTTTAATATATTATTGTATTCTTACAAATTTTATTTCTATATATATTTTCAATATATTTCTAAAATATAGAATAAAAAATATAAAATAGATTCTTGTGTTATAAATAGGGCTGGGAACCAATAGTAAAAACCCGATATTAACAAAATATTGTATTGGTATTGGGTGTAAAATATTGGTATTGGTTTAAACAATATTTTATATTTCTTGTATTGGTATTGGTTTATATTGGTATTGGTTTAAATTCAAATTACTAATTAAAAAAATAGAAATAGTGATTATAAAACCCTTAATTTCTAATTTTAAATAAACATGGGGAAAAAAAAATAATGATACCATAAAATCAGGGTTAAGAACCAACTCTCAAAATTTTACTGAATTCAAATTCTTTTTTTAAACTAGGAATTTATTAGGTGATGTGAATATAAAAAATTTTGATTTAATCATGTATTTTTTGTATCAACAATAATAAACGTATTGATTTTGAACCATTTTATTTATCACAAAGAACATAGCAAAATAAGTAAACTAAAAATATAACATAACTGTCTATTTATACAAAATATAATGCAAAAGAATGATATAATTTTAATATAAGAGGAAATAATTTTATGTATTTAAGAAGAATCTTGCATGCGCATTCAACATTTTAGGCACAGGCAAGCTTGTATAGAATGCTCATCTAGTGAACAACGTTGGTCTGTTATAACATACAGTCCTTCTAAAAAAGTCCTTTCAGAGCTAGATGAGGTGGCCGGAATTGCTAGATAATCTCTGGCAATTTTTGATAATACTGGATATCTATTTTTATTTAATTTCCACCAATCTAATGGATTTGTATCATTGGAAATTGTGGCTTCATCTATGTATTTACTTATTTCTAAGTTGTTATTATTATGAGGTTTCACCTGATAAATTTTGTCATAAAAGGACAATTCTTTGTTATTTTGTGCTTCATTTGTAAGTTCCGCTGAATTGTTATTATTTATTTTATAAATATTGTATTCATTAAGATATTCAATAAGAGTTTCCATATTATTATGCTTTAATAAATGACTTGATAGTATAAATCTTGGGTCAATCATTGTTGAAATAATAAAGAGGTGTTTATTAAAATTATAGTATTTATTAAGTTTTGTTAAGGCAGCTAAAGAAGCTGTCTTTAAAATAGCATTAGGATTATTATTATAACTCTTCACATGCTCAAAAATACTGGAATATAAAGGAATAATTGTTGAAATTGATGGAGTATTAGCACATGAGGCCATTTCTGTAGCAAAATTAAATGGTTCCAGAAATTCTCGGTATATTTCTATATTATTCCATGCTAAGTCACTAATATAATTTTCTTGATTGGTATTTTGTAAATGATTGGTATATGTTGTCAAATAGAGTTTGAGCAATATTGTTCTTTCAAGCATTTGGTATGTTGAATTTTAACGTGTAGGTGAGGAAATTTTAAGTGTGGATTTTTTTCAAGATATATTTTTTCGAGTTTATTAAATTTAGATATAGAAAGTTTAAAAATTTTTTAAAAATTTCTTATTTTTTTTAAAGTTGTATTTAAGGGTTCCAATGCAGCCATAGCCAAATGTATAATATGGCAAAAGCATTTGCACAAATTATCAAAATTATCTTTTTGTTTTAAAATTTTTAGAAATGCTAAATTATTACTTGCATTGTCTAATGTAATGCAAAAAAAATCAATTTCAAATTTTACTTTTAATCCAGAATTAAAAATATTAATAGAATTATGTGCTGATTTAAAAGTAAAAAAATCTAACAAATGATTATTTAATTTAAAATCATTATCAATATAATGAATTGTTATGCCCATAAAGGGTATTTTATTTGGAGAGGACCAAATGTCCATTGTTAAGGAAAATTTAGATGTAATGTTAGAAAGTACAGATTTTAAACTGATAAAAGAACTATGATGATGTTTCATAATTTATATTTTTAGTGTTTTTCTAGAAACTAATGTTAGTGAAGGGTTACAATATGCTATTAAATTTTTAAAAGTGATATCCCTATTGAAAAGGCTAAATTATTTTGAATGAAAAAGTTTATAATTAAATTATTTAATTAGCTTTATTATTTTAAGGAAAAATGATTTTATTGTCTTAATTTTTTTACTGCCAATATTTATTTGCTCACATTTCTTATATAATGTTGGGTGGATATTTTTAAGATGTGTCCATAATCCTGAGGTTCCAAAATTGGGAGTGATATTTTTTTTTACATTTATTACAAATTGCCTTTTTTTATTATCACAAGTAGTCAGATTTTTGCTGAATTTCGTCTTTTATTAGATATTGATAATTCTTCTTGTTCATTATCTCTATTATTATAAGTACCAACAGCATCTATATTTATTAACTCTATTTGGTCTTCATTGATTATAATATCCTAAATAAATAGATAAAATTGATAGATATCATGTAAAAAATTTACTTCCATAATAAAAATAAACTATAATTATAAATAACAGAAATATTGATATCACAATAGTATTTGGAAGAAATAACAGATGTAATCAGTTTTTGAAATGAAAGTAAAAAAATACCACGATATAATTATCCACGATAAACCCAAATAATTATGTTATTTTTAATATTGGTATTGGTATTGGTTAAAATTGTATTTAAACAATATATCAAAACCAATATATTTAGGTAATTGGTATTGGTATTGGTTGTAAAAGCAATACCAATATTTAAATATATATTGGTTTATATTGGTATTGGTATTGTAAACCAATATTATATTGGTATTGGTCCCACCCCTAGTTATAAATAACAAACATTCAATATTTTCGACAAAAAAAACAATAAAAATAATTCTTTATGTTAAATTATATTGTTTAAGATATATTCATAGGAGGATTCATAGAATAGTTTTTTGCAATGCCTGATCACCATTAAAAATATTATAAGAATACACAATATAATAAATATTAAAATAAAGTAAATTTTTAGGTTTGAATGATTTAAACAAAGTATAAAACAGATTGTGAAAATCCTATAAATAGAAATATTAGGAGTAACATAATTAGCAAAGTTATAATATTAAGAATTATTTGAAACAATTTATTGAAGAGATCAAAATTTGAAGCCTTTCCTAAATTTTCAATGACATAAGAATAAGCTGTAGACATTGATGTTCATGTTTTTCACAAGTCCCTTGCAATTTATTTTAGTATCTTTCAGCCAATTTATTTTTATGTTATGTAAAAAAATAATAGCATATTTGGGATTTGATTAAGAAATCTGTCACCATGTCTTAATAAGCTAACAAAAATATTTTACTTTTATATATAAAATATCAAACTGAATAAATATTATTTAGTAAATTTTGATATTACATTCACCTTACGATTAGAATAAAAAATTGTATTTATAAATCTTAGAACATTAAGCTTAGGCCATGCATCTATATAAATATGAAAAGCATAAGAAGTCTGGTGTACCAGGATATATAGGTTGTTTTACTTTATTAACATTATATGACAAAATTGCATGAAGGTTAATTTATATAATGAAATATTACATTTTTAATAGTATCAAAAGATTATAATAAAAACCTAATTCATGATAAAATAAGACATTCAATTAATCCCATTAATTGACCCTATTGTTTGGGAATATTGTTAAATTCCTCAACATCTATAAAAAATTTTAACAATTGGAATATAAATGTTTTAAATATAATAATTTGAAAAGGTATTCTTCTCATAATTACTCACAAACTGTTTTAAAGTAGAAAAAAATATAATAATTTGATAAGGTATTCTTCTCATAATTACTCACAAACTTTTTTAAAGTAGAAAAATCTTTTAGTTCTAAATTATATCTTAATTTCTATTAAATAAAAATATATTAAATAAGTATCAATTTTAAAATTACTATTTTTTCCATTAGATAAAAAAAATACGTAAAAAAATTTATTAAAATACGTAAAAAAAAATTTATTAAAAAAAATAATAAACAACTTTTTTTTAATATATGTTTTTAAAGAAAAAAAAACAAGCGTGTTGAATAAAAAAATAAAATAACTTTATATGACACCATTTATTGCTGTTAAATAAAGGCGTTCCTAGTGGGACGATACCAAATTTATGATTTTTTACTCCACCGAAAAAATAAATAATATAAAATTTTCAAATTTAAAGTCATATATATCAATCAAAAAATAGATATAATTATATTTTTTTCAATTTTATTTATTAACCTTACATACATAAATATAATTAGTAATAAAAAAAAAATGGATTTTAAAAAAAAATTACGTCATTACTATTTTAACTACAAAATAATAAGATCCAAGAATTTCTTTATTCAAAATATATTTCAATTTTCACAATCAAATCTCATAATGATATCACATAATAATATAATTTTTTGTTTCACTACAAAAAATCAATTCCATATTATTCATTTTATAAAATCCTCGACTGAATAAAATTATTAACATCAAATTAAAATAATTTTCATCTCATAAAAGTTTTTCTTTTTATTTCCATAAAACATGAACCTTAAAATTTATCTCGTATAATATATTTATCAAAAGTCAAAAGTAAAAAAGTAAACAAAAAAATACCAAGTGTTTGAATATCAATTCTCGATAAAATAACTAATAAATAAAATATATTCTTTTTGATTGACATTTTATAATATATATGTACAAATATATATCATAATAATACAAAACTACAACAATTACATAGGTGGGGTATATTTTACCCCAATCTCAACAAATAGCATATATCTCAAAAACTATCAAATCAATAATCATGAAATTTGGAAGTTGTATTCCTTGTTACAAAATATTAAACTACTGAAAAAAGCAGGTCGGAATATCTTCTAGGTTTGTATTACAATTATTATAAAAGTTGTGGGGTCGTATTTACCCCACATTTGTAGTGAAAAGTTAACAATCTTATTGATATTCTTCATTTATTCTTATATCCAATTTGATGAACTATTATTTCTCATTATTCTGAACTTACTGATTCTAAACAATTGATATTAAATACCACTGAGTACTACAAGCAAGCTACATGACTGATTCACGATTCATAAGGACAGGACAACTTACAATAAAGGATATCAAGCTTACGATCATACAAACCAACGTGCAAAAACGATTTGAACAAACCAACGATTGGGACAAGCCAACGATAATGTTAAACGATTTTATCAAGCCTACGATAGAATCAAGCCAACGAAAACGTGTGGACTCACGCAACTCTAATAAACGATTTTATCAAACCTACGTGATAGAATCAAGCCAACGAGAACATTTGAGACTTATGCCCTAACCGAGAAGAAACTTAGTACTTTGTAGAAGAGAATGTTAAAGATGATTAACTTTAACTTTAATTTAAATAAAATTTAAATATTTGAATGCCTTATCTTTTATTTTTGTTAAATTGATCGTATTTTTTGTTTAATATATTCGATTAACTTTTTTATATTCAATTTATATTTTTTTTATATATATACGCTGTTAAATGAAATGAAAATATACAACATATAATTTAGAATAATAAATTTGACCTTTTTAAATTAACTTATTTCATTTTATTTTTGCTTATAATTATGTTATTCCTTAATAAATATAAACTATCCATTTCTAAATATATTTCTTTATTTAAATTTAATTCACTAAAGTATAAAAATCAATAATGTAAATATATATCATGAAAAATACAAATAATATATATTATGTTATATTTACATCAAATAAAATAATTGTATTATTATAATTAATATGTATCGCGAAAAGAAAATATTAATCTTATAAATCAATAATAAATACAAATAATATATATGTGTTATATTTATGTCTAATAAAATTAATTTATTATAACCAATAAAGTCATTAGAAATTTTCAGATAATTTGTTCTTCACCTATAAATATTTAAGTTAAATAACATATTTTTATATTACTTGGTTTATTGCCCTTGAAAAAGTACAACCTTGTTTAGTTTTTGCCTGATATTTAATTGTAATTTTTGATTTACTTTATTACCAAAATGATGCATTCTTATGTGCAGGTATCTGAAAATAAATTTTTATTAAAATCAAGTAAATATTATATATACTTTTTTATTATTAGTCTTATTATAATTTGATAATGACTTAACCCTGCCTCTTGATCAAACATATGATCTTGCAGGTCACTAAGGATATTTGTGCCTAATATTTTTGACAATATTAGACATTCTATTTTTTTAACAGCATGTCTTTTGGTTATTTCATCTATCTTTGTATTGCAACTCCAGTTTCTTAGATTCAGATGGCATACAAAAATGGCTCTTTAAAAAACAATAAGCCTTTGGAGAGTAAAAATATATAGTAGAAGCAAATTGTTTGAAATTTGTTTCATATTTAATTTTCTTTGGATTTTTGACTCCACCACTGGCAAGTTGAGTTTTTACAAATGTAAGAGGGAGACCTGTAAATAATCCTTCGACAGCATCATGCCCTTCACCATGTATCAAGTCTTTATCTTTCAATGATTTAATTACAGACTTTAAACATAATATTTCTCTATTTTTTCTCATTAATTTTTTTTTTGTCAAATTTAATTTTTTTATATCTTTCTTGTAAATCTATTTTTAATAATAGACCTCTTTTTTATTGTGTCAAAACTTTCAAAATAATTATGTTCAGTCTCAATAGTCTTGCTAATTATAGGATATTCATATACAGGGCTTAAAATGCTTGATATTTCAAGGCTTACAATAGGCATGGCTAATTTTTTGATCCTCTTGGCTTGATTTTTCTATAAAAAAAATAAACATATATTTTTGAATTAATCTGGCTTCCAGGAAACCTGCATGTTATAATTTATTATTCATTATTTTGTTACTTTTAGAAGATGCTTTGGAAAATTAAAAATTGATGGTATTGCTACTTCTCTTAATTGAACATGATTTGTAACAGATAAAATAAATGAATCTGGTGTAAAATGCTTTGAACATAATTTACTATATTTTGTTACATTGAAGTTCTCTCTCTTCACAGCATGGGTCCACTTTTGTAATAATATTTTATCTTTCATAGGAAATCTGCCATAAATAATTTTTACAATAGAATAATTAATTTGAGATATCATACTTATGAAAGGAAATTTTGCTTCCTCAGCAATATACTACCATTTTAAATCTTTTAGTAATTAAAAATATTAAATTGAATTCTTATAAAAGATATTCATTATTAAATAATAAATTGCAAATGTTATTAAAGAGCAGAAATATTTCAAGTAAAATATTCAGTAGTGACCTTTATTTGATTCATATATACTATAATATATAAGGTAAATAATAAATTGGTGTTTAATTAAAATATATATATATATTATAAATATTAACATAATAAAAATATACCTGAAATTTATGAAATTATCATATGGTTCTTTCGTAAAAGATACAAACACAAAATGGCCATCAGTCACTTCAATTTTTGCCACTTCAAATATATTAATCGGCAGTCTATAGTATTAATGTCATTGATGTAGACATCTCAATTATTTAAAAAAATAATTATTCAACCCTCAAATTTATTGAAATTAAAATGCTCAAAAAACTAACCCAGGTAATTATTAAAATATCAACTAAAAAAATAAATATATATTTTATTTAACCATTCAAAAAATAAATATATAAAAAAAAACATATAATAGTGGAAAAATTTATGATTCCCATCAATCTTACCCTCTCAAGTATAAGATTTATCTTTAGAAAACTAAATTATTTTAATTATAATATTTCACACATTATTATTTAAAGTCAAATGGACTCTATATACCTATTTATTTCATGGAATTAAAATACTCAAATAATTAAACTATGTAACTATGCCACAGTATGCCAATCAAATTCACTACTCCTTAGAACATGTTACATTTTAAATTTAACAAATAAATTTAAATTATATTTAGCCAATTGAACATTAAAAGTCATAACAAAACTTTTCTCTCACCATTAATATGTGACATCTGTTAGCATCAAGTAAAATCCAACCTTTTAAATTAAAACGTCGTCAATTTCCTATTCTCCCATCTTTTGTTATTACTATTAATAAAAGTCAGTGTCAAACCTTCGATCATGTAGACATCTCAATTATTTAAAAAAATAATTAATCAACCCTCAAATTTATTGAAATTATTGTCAGGGAAAAAAAAAATAAATTATCAAATTTTTAAAAATGACAAATTAGTTTTTAAAAAAAGTTTAATATTTACCCCGTTCATATAAAAATATGGACATGAGATACTGTGAGAAGAACATAAATAAATATAAATTATGTTTTAAGTTAAAGAAATAATTTATTTTCTTAAAAATTTAAAAATGGTTAATTGATATTTTAATAAATACTTACGTTAATTATTTGAGCATATTTTGTAGGTACAATCATAACTTTAGTATTTTTTGAGAGGTACATTTGCTTAACCCGATATTAAGTTTTGCATGATATAAAAGAGGTAATATAAACCTACATGATCGATGGGTTGACACTGAATTAGAAAACAGGTAATATAATCCTACATGATCGATGGGTTGACACTGATTTAGGAAATTGATGACGTTTTAATATAAAAGGTAGTTGGATTTCACTTGTTACTAAAGAATTTGAACAACATGTTGGTTTGTATAAATGTTTATATTTTCCATGATAATATATATTTATATAATATTAAATAAGAAATATTTTTATCTTCTTAAAAATATAAAAAAGGTTGTGATCTTCTTAAAAATCGTTAATTAAAAATGGTTGATTATTAATTAATAAAACAAAGAAAATAAATTTAAACCAATAAAATAGAAAGAAAATAAATTTTAACCTATGAAATAAGACCTTAATAAACCAATAAAAATAAAGATTAATAAGCCAATAAAAATAAAAAATAACAGCAAAATAATAACGTATATAAGAAAGATAATATTACAATATTTAATATAGAAGGTGGCTTAGCGGGAAAAACGCTTGCCTTTAAAACGTTAAGTCATGGGTTCGAATCCCGTTATATACAAAAAATTTTCTTAAAATTTAACATTAGTAGTCTCCATCGATTTATTTAACATTAAGAAGATAGGAAAGTTGATGAGAAAAATAAAAATTAACATTAAGAAGATAGGAAAGTTGATGAGAAAAATAAAAATTAACATTAACGATATACAAAAACGTTCATTTTTGATTACGGTGATTATATATATAGATTTATTGCTAAAATAAAGTCATTATGATTGGCAGATATTTTGGAAAAATAAAAAAATATTATCTCAAGATATTGATGAACCAAATCGAATAAACGGCCTGGGCACGATATAGCGAAGACCGAAACATCGAAAATTAGGGAACATTTTTAAAAATGTTCCCCAAAATGTTCCCAATATGGCGAAAATTTTTGATATGAGAAAAGTATATAATTAGTTTTAATGAAATATTAATAATTTAATGTGATACAGTAACTAAATTTAATAATTTAGGAACAAATTCAATTCAGTTTACAAGCAACTTTCTCATAAGAGATACTCATGAAAGTATAAATTTTTTAGCAATTGATTTTAGAAATTTAGATGATTTTAGGCCCAAATTTAATTCAGCCAACCTAAAATGCAAAAAGAAGATACAGAGGTCATGCTTACTTCTGCTTAAGGTATAGATTTTTTTTTTTTATTATATTAAATTAAATTTCTTAGTGGCAAATAATTCAGCTTGATGATAATAAATCAGCAGGAAAGGCAGCTATTGAAGATTATTAATATATGAATATAATATTCCTTTTTTATCAACCCTTTAAATAAACATAATTAATAAATCTATTTTAGATGATTGTCATTTTCCAACACTGTTCATATTTTATGAATGCATATTGTATTATGATTGTGTTATTATAATATTATATATTATTCAGTGCAAATATAAATGATCTATCCTATGCAGTGTATACTTAAAATTGAATGTAAAAGTTATTATTTAAAATATAAATAATTTAAAAAAACCCTTTATTTACTAATATTAAATTAAATTTCTTAGTGGCAAATAATTCAGCTTGCAAATGATAATAAATCAGCAGGAAAAGCAGCTATTGAAGATTATTATTATATGAAAGCAGCTATTGAAGATTATTATTATATGAATATAATATTCCTTTTTTTCAACCCTTTAAATAAACATAATTAATAAATCTATTTTAAATGATTGTCATTTTCCAATAGATACACTGTTAATATTTTATGAATGCATATTGTATTATGATTGTGTTATTATAATATTATATATTATTCAGTGCAAATATAAATGATCAATCTGTCTATGCAGTGTATACTTAAAATTGAATGTAAAAGTTATTATTTAAAATATAAATAATTTAAAAAAACCCTTTATTTACTATGAATAAATTTTTATAAGAAAGAAATATATATTGTTTGCCATGCTTTTAAATTAAATTTACAAAAAATCAGTATTTATAAATAGAAAATATATAAAAATCATATTTAGGATTTAAAAATGATTCATATTATATTAGGAAAGGCAATAACAATTGTGAAAAAATTAATAACATATTTATTGGTATTTAAGTTATTTTGTATAAATCATTTTTATAATATATTCAAAAAAATTAATATTAAACATTATATTTAATAAAAAATACAATAAATATACAAAATATTAGTATTTTATTGATAATATTTAGAGGTAGAGATTATGTAATGGCCAAACATTATTAATGTCATATACAAAAAATTAATATTAAACATTATATTTAATTAAAACCACACTAAATAAATAAAATATTAGTATTTTATTGATAATATTTAAAGAAGATAGAGTTCATATAATGGCCATACATTATTAATGTCATATACAAAAAATTAGTATTTATAAATTGACAATATATAAATACCATGATAATAACCTAATTTATTTGGAAAAAATTAACATATTTAATATATTCTAAATATATTAATAATAGATATAATATTATTTTAGGACTTTTTATTGGAGTTATACATAATGGGAACATTTTTTTATTTTTCGCTATTCTTTTCGCTGTTTAGTACCGAATTCGACACTTTTTTTCTCGATACTAAACGATTCGTGATTATGAATAATGTTTATCTCTAAAAAATTTTATTTTACTCTATATAATATAACATTTTGTATATTTAAAATTTTCTTCACTATAACATATATTAATTGCAATTACAATGAAGAACAGATAATTTTATACAAATTACATGAGTGCTTATCAGATGTATTAGCTAATGATTTTTTTTTAATTTATATTTTTTTTAAATGTAAAACAAAACAGGTTTACCATATAAACAATGATGATATAAACTGTGATCTGAAAATTTTAGATTTTCATAATAACTATGAGATATATCCTATTTTATCACAATTATTAGTGAAACCATATTTTAAGTTTTTTAAAGTATATTTTTTTATTATTCTTTAATGTCAATGATTAATTAAAGATAAATTTAGATAAAAAATGCCCCTTTTGGCCGGATAATAAATTATGCTCATCTCAATATTGTTTTATCAAAGCGTGTGATAAAGTTTATCTATTTTTATGTATATAATTCTATTTTACTCAGGATTCTATACCTGCTGCTTTAAGAGATACAGAAAATAATTATAATGAATTCAGTGATAATCATAACAAAACAATTAATGTAAAAATATGAATTTACCTGTGTATTTATAATTTTTTAGGGTGTTTCAAATTGCTCATATATAAATACAACTTCTAATGATACTCAATTATTAAACTCTGTTGATCTAACTATTAGGTAAATTAATTAATATATTTTTATATGTATTTAATTAAATAGCCATTCAGATCAGGAAGCTTTTGAAAATTGGCATCAACATGATTCAACATCACAAAATTTCTGTGAATTAGATGGTTTGTATATATAAATGTTTTAATTAATTAGTTTATAAACAGATAGTACATCTAAAGATTGTAAATATGTTGATCTATTATTGAATCCAGAACAATATACAGCCTTTTCTGGTTATCCAGCTCATAAAATATGGAAGGCCATCTATGAAGAAAATTGCTTTAACAAGTTTATTAATGGATAAAATTATGTTTTAATTTTTTTATTGTATATTATTCCTTTCTTAGTTATAAAAAAACCAAAAGGAAAGGATATGGTATATCTCAAAATAATATGAAAGGTATTCATTTAAATTTATGCATTTATATAAAACTGAAAAAGATTTATGCTTGGAGAAGAGAGCATTTTATATGGCATTATCTGGCCTACACTCTAGCATTACAATTCATCTGTGTTCAAGATTTTATTTTTCGGGTAATTTAAAATTAATCATATATCTCAATATTAGCTTAAATAAATTGGTTTTATTTTAACTTATAACCAGGGCTCGGCTGCCAAATATTGAACAAGGGCTTGCTAAAAAATTCCTCTTGATTCACTTTATAAATTATTCATAAATTTGCAATTTATAAGTCCAAACATTGAAACTAATATATTTTTATAATATAATATTCAAATTTAATAGATATTTTAATAATTTCTAAAGATATATTTGATTATCATATTTGCATTTTTTTAATTGGTTTGAATTACATGTGTTGATGACCTTATTTATACAAAATATTATAAAGTTGCATCTCAACCTGATAAAGGATTTTCTAAACATACCAGCATTAAATCTTCAATATTTTAAATACTTACCATCTTTTATTGATATTTCATTCATCAAACTATATCCGTATACAAAATATTTGAAATTTTTGCTTTCTCAATGGTGCTAGAAATGAGGGAGTCACTTGACTTGATATAAATATCCATATCCACAAAATTTCAAAGGTTATTCCAGTCTATACAGAATAAATTTTTTTTGTTAAATGGAAATTTTTCTTAAGAGGCCAAGATGGTTTGAGTTTTATTTATATTTTTAATACTTTGATATATAACAAGTAAAGTTGAGTAAGTAAAGTTATTTTATTTTATTACTTAAAAATACAATTTCATATATTGCTTTGATATATATCTAAGAGTTGAAGTTATTTGAATAGGGCTATAGTAAATGAAGGCAGATTAAATTAGTGCACATTGTAAGATAAATTCTAATAGATTACATTACATTATGAGATTTAGGTCTAATAGATTAAATAGATAGATATTTTTAACTAAATAATTATAAAAAATAATATAATTATATCTTCTAACTAAATAATTGGGAATAAATCGTAAATAAACTAAATAAAATTTAATAATCATAATAAAAATTAAGACTAACTATAAAAAAATAATTTTAGATAATTAACTAATGACTAATAATTTGTATTGGATGATACAGTACTACTATTTTTTCCTTTTAAATATGCTCATAATCTTATTCCCTACGCTATTATTATTATTGGATTGGGTGAGTTCCACTCCTCTTAATAATTATATCTGGGTTACAAGGTTTGTTGGTATCCTTGAGGAAAAAATCGGCATAATTATTATGGAGGATAGGGCCTCTATAGTAATTCACGTTCGCTCATTTTGGGCAGGTCCATGACCAACGTGCTAGATAAGATAAGATAAGAAGTTGTCAAAAGCCTCTTTATAATTTATAAAACTTTCCCCTTAATTTTTTATTTTTATAAAATCAGTTCTGAAATTTATAAGAAAGTTCTTGAAATATAGGAATAAACAATATTATAAGCACATTTAATATTTTAAACATGTAAATATTTTTAAATATAATTTATATATAAAAATATTAGAATGGGAGATGTATTTAGGATCAACAATTGACCTTTTCTTATTCCATATGTAAAGTGAATTGATAAACAATCACTCAACTTTAGTGCCAGAGGGTAAAAAATCATCTATTGTAATCTTTTCATTCATCATAATCAATCCTTATTTTCGTATCACATTTTCTAAAAATACCTGACCATTACAAATACTAAATTATAAAAGTATCAAAGACAAAGTCAGAGACAACGAGTCTCATATATATTGATAAAAGTTGATTTTTTACAATAATAGTAATTTTTTTATATATTATGTTAATTATTATTTTTTAATAATTGCTATTAGTGCTTCTATATTTTTAGTTCTATCTTAAATCTTGATTCTAATTTTTAAATTTTATTATTTTGCAATAATTGCTGTCAAATATATTCTTACATATTGGTCTAAGCTTTAGAATTAGTGCTTTTAAAAGTTTGGCAAACTTCATGGGCTGCATCTTTATGAGATTCAGATTCATATCAAAATTTTAAAAATATAGACTAGATTTAAAATTTAATGAGATTTAAATTAACTTCTATAACAATTAAATAAACTGACTGAAAAGAACAAATAGTATTTATAAAGATTGTAGAATTATAAGATTCAAATATATTTTGAATTGGGGGAAAAAAAGAAACCTTAATATATTTAGACCTAATTGATTTGAATTATTAAAATCTATTGGCATAACTGGTTTCTGTTTATTGACTTTGAAAAACTGATTGATTAATAATTTCTAAAATATTTACCGAATAGGTTGATGCATAAGGTTGTGCCGATCCACAAATTAAATTTTTTGCCGATCTGAACTGATTACTACAAATCCGATTCGATATTTATAATTATTTATTAACATCTATATTAGAACTAAATGTCATAAAAAATCAATTTTTTTATTAAAAAACCAATTTATACGAATAATTAAGTGAATTTTGTTTTATTATATTATTATATATAAAAGATGGACAACTGAATATAGGATTGTTAAACGGCTCGATTTAGCCGATTTTTAAAAACAGTTAAATCAAAATTTTTGCCAAAATATTATTGCCTAAGCTTCGTAATTTCACCGATTTCCAGACCTTTCTATCATTGTGGGCAAAATTTACAAGCTTGGGTATTTTACTCTTGGTTAAAATTTTGAGTTAGCGTTTTAAAAATCGGTTAAATAGAGTCGTTTAACAACACTAATTGAATATGACACATAGGATATATTTGAATCCTTTTCTTCAGTTTTTTTAAGAATTACTAAGCAATATTTAAAGCGCGCCTGTTTGGGGATATTCTCAACATTTAATATATATTGAGTCCAAATTATCATCTAAAAAAGTTTTTGAAATTCGTTTATTGATATCTTTGTGACGTCACCCATTATTTCTAAAATTTGTAAACATTTTTTATGTATAATTTCTATAAAATTCTATATAATATTTTACTTGACCCATAACCCATATACTTTATTCGTCGCCAAATATTATATTTTAAATATCATAACGATATATGGTCAAATGATAATCATATTTTTATTTAATGTTGTGTATATATATACTTTGAGCCTATAATATTTAAATATTAGTTCCTTTCTTTTTATGGTTTACCTATGTACCAACCCCATTTGACGGCAGCGGTTTTTTTAAATTTTTTATCGGCGTTCGGCGAGCCGATTTCGCCGCCGCCTAATCAATTAGCGGCGGCCGCAGCGTGCTATTTATTTAAAATTTTTTTTAATGAATTTAATTTATAATTCAAGGTATTATATTTTTTTATAATTTATTTTGCTCTTAGTTCTATTTTTATAATTTAATTCATTTCATTTTTTAAATTATTTTCTATCTCACTCCTATTTAAATTTATGTATTTTCTCATTTTCAGAAGTACTATTTTTACTCAGATCAGAGTCACATAAACAACATATATTAGTAATATTCTATTAATTTTTATTAAAACAAGTTAAAATATAAATTTATAATGTAAGCGAAACATATAATATAATAAATTAATCAGATAGTAAAATTATAATAGTCATGAATAAATAGCATTTTATCAAGATACTTTATACATAAATAAGTCTTTTTTGCATTGAGTATTAATCCAGCGATGGATTGGGGTAATGGTTGAATGTATACAAAGAATCTTCCTAGTTAAATTAGCAAACCTAGGAAGTTCCTGTCGCCATAAGTTAGTGCATCCTCTTCTCATTTTGGCTGAGCAAAATATGGCATTCTTGCTCTATATTGCTGATGTTATTATAATCGTTGCCTAGAAAGGATTATTTATAGCTATTTTATCCATAAATGGACTGGATGTTTGCTCATTATTTTCAACTTGAATCTTCCATTGTACATTTCTATCATACTCTAAAAGTTTATATGTCGAATTAAAAATTGCAATATGATGTCATAGAATTCGAATTTAAATATTCTGATTTTTAAGATTTTGAAATCTCGGATCAAGTAGTGTCGCTAATATCTAATGTTTAAAATATAATTTTACAAAAATATAATATAAAATTAAAGTTCGGTAATTTGAAACTTACGGTCAAGCTTTTTTGCATATTTTCTTTTAGGCAAATGATATCTGAGCACTGATTTATTGATTTATATATATGTTTCTATTTCATAGCGAAATAATAATCCTAAATTTATTTTTGTCCCTTTAGAGAGGAAAGAAATTCCATCGATTCTCTGAATGGATTTAATAATGTGTAAAGTTCATATCCATTCGTTATTAAAAAGTTATATTATTTTATTTAGAACATTATTTATAGGAATCTTGTTAATACTACGGATACTTTCTAGAAAGTTAATATGCTGTGCCAACGGGTAAGGCAATTTAATTTTAAAGCTTTTCTTATTAATTAGACCTGTTGATGCAATGCAATATATTATCAGCCTCACCAGAGATATAAAATGCTCATCAAGGTATTGATCAGAATCATCAATATCCAAAATATGGTCAGTCTAAATTGATTGCAAACATTTACGATGTTTATCCTCAATTTCACATTCCAAATCAGCTACTCGATATCTGAGGGCTGAAATGATTTCTCTAATTTTTTTTAATCAGAATATTAATTCTGGCAAATATTTTATGCCATCAACAGTAGCTAAATTATTAAGTCCATGCCCTAAGCATAAATAATGCTCATAATTTTCTAATCTAACTCTTCTTTTCCAGCATCAGTTACCATCTATATTATATTGTTTTTTTAAATGTAATTTCTTTTCTATACTATCGATCTCAGATAATATGGCTTCACCAGTATGCTCTTTCGTCACCTTTCTAGTTGTAATAGTTGTAAGGGTAAAATATTTTTAAGTCAAAATTTTCATTTAAATGACGAAGATTAAACGTGATATAATTTCTATGAAATGATCAGTCCATATATCAAAAGTGATGTAAGAGGATTTTGATCCAGAATCAATCAGATTTTAAATGCACCTTTATAGAGGAATATCATCTAGTGCACCCCGACTAATGGTTGTTCTATTCAGGCAATTCTGACAAGGAATCAAATATCATATTTTTATTTTTTTAGATAATTTATTTTTTAATAATCATTTTATTTAAATTTTAAACCTTTAGAAAATCAGTTATTTCTTTATTTATAGAGTCAAATGGCATTAAATCTAAGCAGATTCAAAACATAATTTCGCCCTATTAAATTTTATATTTATTTTATACATTAAAAAGATATTGAAAAAGCATTTAAATAATTAGAGCTTAAATGAAACAAATTTGAACTTCCAAAATAAGTTTTATATAATTAATTTAATAAATCAGTTATATATTAAGTTTATACATTACAGATACTCAAAAAATCTTCAATTAGAGCTGGCAATAAACTAACTAAGGTGGTTTAAAACGGTAAGTCCACAAAAAAATTAATATGTATTAATGTTTGTGTTGTAAATGATATAAACTATTTTATTATATGCCAATAGAATACAATTTATGTTAATATTCAAATTTAAATAGTAAAAATTTAATATATGAATATAATTATATGGCATTCTAAAAATTATGCACGCTGCGCTGCCGCCATTTTCTGGCGTGAATAAAATTACCGAAGGTCTAGCTTTTAGAGGAAGTTATATAGACAGCTAAGCAGACAACTGTTTATAAACAAAACGAACCAAGACACGGCCTTACTACTTAATAGCAAATAATGAATTTTAAAACATTTCGCGCTTACACAAAGAAAGAACGCGTTAATCGCGGTGGAGAATACAAAATTTAGCCTATTTTGTATAATTCACGCTTACTATGAATGAGGGGATATTCCGGTAAATTATTATTAAATTTAATGTTTTTCCATTAATTAATGCATTCGTGATATATTCATTATTTTGCTGCAATGCTCTCACATTAATGACCTTCTCAATATATTTGTGGTGAAAAAATTGTTATAATGGGTTCGCGATGAAAGTTTAGCTACATATTCATGATATACTAAAAAAAATATATTGCAGAGGTCAAATTTGTCGTAATTATATAATCTTTTATTTTATTTCAATAATGTCTATATCTGTTTTTTATGTCTTTTTATATAAAATACATTTATTTATTTATTTTTTAATACATTAATTTAATTGAATACAATATATCATTTTATCTTTTTATTATGCCTTGAAGGTATTCTATTACATCTATCCTCTCCCTCTTTTTTTTGGCTCTCCATTTGGAACGGTATAAATTATTTTCTGATTCGTATTGGATAACGGCTACTTGTACTTTCGTTCTCTAACACGGTTTGATCAGTCATGTCGATGTCACTCTTATCATTTATGATGGCATCTTTGGTTATTGAGTCTTGTATCGGATCAATATCTTTTGTCATCAAGTCTTGTATCGGCTCAATGTCTTTTTCTATAGAGTTTTGTATAGGATCACTTTCATTCATTCAAGGTGTTATTTGTATCGGTTCTCTTTCTCTTCCTTCCTCTCTATTTTTAATATCGGAATCATTGAACCTATGTTTTAACTGATTAATATATTTTCTCCATAACCCTAATCTGGTCTCAGCTAAAAACGTCATTGGACCTGTTCTTTTAACGATGATACCTGGTATCCAAATATCTTTCTTAAAATCTTTTGCATATATTTTCTCATTTATATTAAAAAACCAGGTAGCTGAGTTATGATGGATGTGTGTGGATAAATTGGTTTTATTAATTGTAAAGGTCCTATGGGTTGAAATTTAAGCATCATTGAACTTGGTGATTGTTTAGTGGTTATTTGTGGCTTATTTCGATAATTAAATAAAAAATCTTGTATTTTATCATAATCATGTTTTTTTAAAATTTTTTTAAAAGTTTGTACTAGCCGCTCTGCTTCTCCGTTGGTTCTAGGGTGGTACGGCGCACTATATACATTTCTAATTGATAATTGTTTGCAAAATAAACTGAATTCTCTACTTTGAAAGGGGGGGCCATTATCCGTAACAATCATATTGGGGTAACCAAAAATAGCAAAAAGTCTTAACAATAATTTTCTTACTTCAGTAAAATTATTAGTCGATAGTTTTTGTATTTAGGCCATTTACTAAAACTAATTACTAGATATATATATATATATATCCGTTAATGGGTCCGACAAAATCTAAATGAATTCTTCCACATGGTTTATTTGGGGAGGCCCATTTCCCTATAATTGTTTTATTTCCAGGATTATTTGTCTGACATAATTCACAATTTCTACCGTGTAATTCGATATCTTCGTTAATATTTGGCCACCAAACATTCTCTTGTGCCAATAATTTTGGCGTAATAAAAAGATAAAATGATATATTGTATTCAATTAAATTAATGTATTAAAAAATAAATAAATAAATGTATTTTATTAAAATGGACATAAAAAACAGATAAAGATATTATTGAAATAAAATATTATATAATTACGACATGGCGCAGTTTCAAATGGAGAAATTTAATATAAAGGAGTGTGAGATGAAAGTTTATTTATCAAAGATGGAATTCATTTTTAAAATCGCCAAAATAGAAGACAAAATGTCATTTTTATTAGCAAATATTGGACTTGAGGTTTAAATTATTTACGTTGTGTTTGCCAAAGACATTAGAGGAAATATCATATGATGATATAATTATATTAAAAAATTATTATGCGAAGAAAACGAATTTTATGCTGGAGAGATATTATTTTTTTTAAACGGAACAAGAAAGAGGAGAAAAACTTATAGAATATATAAATAAATTAAAGATAAAAGCATAGACGTGTGAATTCAAAGAGATGTATAATACAGTATTACGGGATAAATTAGTGTCGGGAATTACTAATGACATTTTATCTTTTTATTATGCCTTGAAGGTATTCTATTACATCTCTTTCTGTTTTCAAGCTTTGTATGTTTTATTAATAACAATGAAATTCAAATTTCATCATCAATGTTTCGAAATTTTAATTTTTTATTCATTTCATTTTTTAAATCAGAAGAACTGCAAGTCTAAAAGGCCTAAAAACTGAGCCAGAGTGGTCGTAAAATAGTATGATTTTATAAATATAAATTTAAAAATGACATAATTTTATAAATTTTTGCTGGGTTTGAATGGAAAACAAATCTTGACTGGGACAAAAATCAGAATTTCGCGAAAATAAAGCATTATAAATATAAACAAGTTTATTAATATCTTTGAAAAAGACGAAAATTTATAAAGTTACCAAAGCAAAAGTTAATGTTACTCAAAGTTAAACAAATGCAGAGGTTACAGAGCTCTTTGTTACATTTTCAAAAAGATTTGTAACTTTTTTCCATTCCTACATATTGCTCCCATTTTTTATATCTTAATTATAAATAAATACGCTATGAACTAAAAAATTTTATTAAGCTTTTAGTTATTATTGATCATTAAAATATAAACGTTATAGAATAAATCCCGATTTAACGTTTTTCAAGGAATCACTATTTTAAGCGTTATGCATAAGAATTATGTTTTAAAAAAATATGAATATGTAGTAGAATAATTCAAAATCAGATGCAGTAAAATTAAAAACATTAACCTACGAGTCTAGCAATTTATAAAGCCTTTTCTTTTAGTATTGATCAATTATCGGAAATATTCAAAGTTGAGTTAATCAAAGAAATTAAGCTATAAAAATTCCCTTTTTAAAGATTTTTTTCCTAAAAACAGTAAATTATATATACTTATAATGCAATAAAAAACATACGCTAAAACCAATAATCATTTATAATTAACATAATTTTAAGACGGTAGTTTTGAACATAATCCCATGGAATTTACAAAGCGATTTGATTTGAATCTAACGCGTGGCGAAGGAAGCAGGCGATTACGAAATTTATATTTCACTTACTTATTGGAGATGAGGGCTTTAGCTAAAATAGCTCAAAATTTGCAACACGTAAGAATTTTTAAATCGATCGATTTTAAGGAATTTTTTTTTAAATTTTAGCAATAGTAATAGGGGCAGCCTGAATTTTCCTAACAATTCTTATTGACGAGCATTTTTTAAATAATATACTTATTTTTTAAAAAAAGAATCTTGTTTCCTTTTCATTTTTTTTAATTAAAATTTTATTAAATGAATGAATCGTAAATTCATTGTATAAACGTTTTGAAATTATATCATTTAAAAGAATAATTTGTTTGAATATACTGATAAGGAAAATTATTTCACGGGCAATGCAGTCGACGATGACATGGTTAATCAAACTATGAAAAAGTTATTGCGTGCCATCAAGTTTTTTTTACGAATTATAAACTAATTGATGATATATGGAATATAATTATTTAGTATTTTAATCAAATTACCTTTAAATTTAATAAGCTTCTGTTATTTATAATTAAGACTAGTTAGTAAGATATCGTGAAATTATATTTTACGAATATTGTTTAATATTATTAGTATTAATATAAGATATATTTTAAATATCAAGATGCGCCATAACTTATGTAATTAATTATCAATTTAATTTTACATTATTAATTCATGAAGAGCCTTTCCTTGCCATTTCGATGAGCACACAATGTTTCAGGGAAACAAATCGGAGAGTTTACAATTAAAAGTTAGCTATATTCATAATGCTCCATTATTATTTTTCTTATTCCCTACGCAAATACTAGATTTCCTCGGTAAACTATTTTTTACTTTGAAAGGTGACCACTTCTAAACCCCGTAAGCGTCGAGATTAATTACTTCTGATTATTTTATAGAAGCTTATTATTAAAAAGTAAATATGTATCAGGGTTAAATATTTGGCCAATAAAATATATTTCGATCAATTGACCGATATTTGGCCGGCCAAATATAGCCTATTATAATATAATTATACAAGAAATATGTTTATGAATGAATGTATAATTATATTATATTTTGATGAATTTATTCTATAAATAATGTTTATTTGCTTTGCTAGGCTTTTTTTCGGGATAACGGAGTTATTATCATTTAATTTATTTATATATTTTATTTTAAATGATAAGTTATAGATAATTTTCCCGTAGTCAAAATTTTTAATCGATTTTGGTTCTTTTTATGATTATTACTTCAACTAAACCCTCAGGATTTTATGCAAAAAGACACTACAGCATCAAGATTTTTCATATAGATGGCAGAAATTTGACTTCTTTTGACCAAATCTCGAGGCTTATGTGTTGGTTAAAATCTTTATTTAACTTTTCATAAGTAGGCTAAATCGAAGTTTTCAACGTGAGTATACACAAAAATAACAGTTTAGCCATTCAAATATACTTTTGGTCAATGTACTTGACAGGTCGATCTACCGAATAGCCTTATTAAAATAAAAGTGCGTGGTTGGAAATCAGAAACCTGTAAATCTGTTGAATATTAATTTAAAATATTTGATATTCGTTAAAAAAATATATACGAGTATTCATGGGGTCAATATGACAACATATTTTCAGGGCCGTAGACAGGAATTTTTAGCTGGGGGAGGCCAACTCTACTTAGGGAGGCCAATATTTTTTTGAAATAAAACTAATAGTTAGGCAGTCAGAAATTTTTTGTTATTTTTGAATTTGTAAATGACTTATTTTATTTTTAAATCTTAACATAAATGAATTAAAATCTAAATTCTATATTATTTTTCTTTAAGTTATACTAAATTTTGTTTACGTCGATCTTTCATCGATTCTCTAATACTCGATAGAACTCTCTTTAGTGTAAAGAATGAGGCCTCACAAAAAGCCGTTGATACATGATGATGGCAGCTGATTAGCATTTATACAATTCTTTAAATGCAAGATGATATTTTTTTTATACCTAATACTTACGATATTTTCAAAATTATGTTTCTTTAACTTCTACAGCTAATAATTCTTTTGCTATTTTCATTTCATGATGTGACGTTTCCATATAAGCTTGATAATGATTCTAATGGGGTCATTTTATCTGATACAAATCAGGGTCAAGAGGGGGACGATATATTAAAACATAATAGAAGATTATAATCATCTTGTATCCCTAAAACAGATGTTCTTATTATAATGTACCACCATTTCTTAGCTTTTCCTATCTAAAATGCACTTCTTCATGTTATAAAATTAACTAACTCTCTAATTTATAGTTAAGCTTAAAATTTTAATGACATTTGAAATTTTTAATTTTATTTTTCAACTTAAAAAAGGCGTTCTTGTTATACCACCATTCCCTGGCTTTTCCTATCAAAATGCAGTCCTTCAAGTTATAAAATTTACTAACTCTTCTAATTTATAATTAAGCTTAAAATTTTAATGACATTTGAAATATTTTTTAAATTTAATTTCTCAACAGAATTATCAAAAAATTCTAATCTACTTTTCATCATAAACCACTATTACAAACAAAATATTTGTGTTTATTTTTATTTAATGATTTGTTACCAATTATGGAAAATCAAATTTTGAATCATAGTAATTACCTAACCAGTGATATATAACTTTTATAAATTATTAATTATAATCTTAAACCTTCAAAAAGATGCCCACAATGTCTTTAAATTTCACCTTCCTTGGTTTTAATGGACACAAATAAATTTTTTAAGACACCAAAGACATAAATATATCCAATAAATAATATCATGTCGAAGTGTATGCACAACAAGGCATAGTTATATTTATAATTAAATTGTTAAGGAATTATTTGGTGATTCTAATATATGAAATTTGCCTCATATGCGATAAATCCACAAATATAACCAAAGCCAGGAAGTTTCAAATTCATCGACATTCATCCTCTCGATGCTGAGGTTCAGGGCTACCAAGCATAACACCTATAGATTCTCCTCCATTCAGTCTATTAAATCTAATAAACCCTCCTTCCTCATTGCCAACTCAACATACCTAACCTACAATCATGGCCAGTGAATTTTTATCACTATCCAATTATCCCACTATATCTCATATTCCACAGGGGCCACGTAATTCCTTCGCTATCCTTCAACAAATTAATCCATTTAACTGGAAACAATTCGGAAAACCTTTCAAATTGGAAAAATCTACTAAACTTACCAATTCCCTTAAAATACCTAATAATAGAAATATATTATTATGCAAATATATTAAAACTTCAATATCCCTCTTCAATCCAGATATCATACCAGCCTCCACACACCACACTTACCAATCTACTTCACTCCCTATTGCCCGAGGGCCAAAATAGTTTGAAATAAAATAAATAACCTTGACATATGAAGACTTCTTAGCTCTCAATAAGGAATCCACCCCAGAAGCTTTGTTACAAAAACACCCCATATGTGACCCAGAATTTTTTATTCAAACCAAAACAATCATTACTCCTGAAATTAACATTGACGAGGCACTTAAGGCTGTTAGATCTTTTAAAAAAGATTCTTCTGGAGATCTTGATGGCATTCTATATTCATACAATATATTAAGAAACCCAACGTTCCATGTAAAGCTTTTTACAGAATCTTACCAGGTTATTAAATATAATACTCAATGGGCCTTTTCCAGCACTCATCATTCCTATCCTTTTTGGTGCATATCTAATAGCTCTTAGACGGATGTATTCGCCCAATCACAGTAGGGTCTTTCTTCCGAATAGAGGTTTCTAATATCATTGATTCACGAATCAAGGAATCTCTTTACTCATACTTGTCGTCACCCATTTAGGGCTTGGCGTTCGGTGCAGAAATTTCTGCTCATCTTCCCCATATAACTATCGCAAATAGTATTCCTGATGACGTTGCTTTAAAACTTGATTGCCTTCAATACAATAAAACGTCAACACTTCGTTTCTTTGTTTTGCAACAAATATCCTGAATACTCATCATATATTCTCCACAGCTATTCAAGCCCTACATTTCTAAAATACAATAATAACAGATGGAGACCCCTTAGTCCCTGCTCTCTTTTGCATTGGGATCCACAAAATAATCCAGGAAATTTAATCCGAATCCACCTTTACCTTATATTCCTGGTATCTCGATGAAGGCATTGTTGCAGGCAACCTTTCCGCAATCCTTCCATCCCACCCATTATCGAGGATCTCTCACATATTGCAGGACTATAACTCAATTTCCTTGAATGTGAGATTTACTTCCTAAATCCTACATCCATTCCTTTAGGCACCACATACCATGTCATTAACAGAGATGAGATGACACATCTTGGATCACCTATAGGGGGTGGAAAAGGCCATCGAAACTTTTTTAAACAAATCTCTTAAAAAGTTGTCTAAATTAAACACATTATTTAATTATCTCCCTTCTCATCATTTCTTTTTTTAAATCAAAAATTACTTTAATATACCAAAAATCCTCTTCGCTCTGAGATCCTCACCGATCTTCAAATGCAGTGTTTTGCTAGTTTCTCATGATATCCAAACAAGGATTTCCTCGAAAATATATTGCACATAAAATTTTTCGACTCATCTTGGCTTCAGGCCAGCCTTCCAGCAAGTTAGGTAGTATTGGTATCCGATTCCCGCTACAACGTTCTCTTTCAGCCTTTTCTTGCTGCTCAAATTATCAATGTAACTCTTATATACCACCTATACCAGACCCTTACCTTTTGGGATATCAACAGCCTGTTCACCCTCTGTCGTCCTGCATCCAGCATTCAAAGATCTGGATGCTCCTTTGATTGCTGATTACCTCATTTCTAACAGATCTTTTGGGGAATATCCCAATAACATAATACTAAATGCAAACTCAGGCTATGAATGGTTGGAAGCCATCCCCAGTTCCAATCTTGGCCTCCTCATAACTTGTGAATAGCTACTTATATCCATAGCCCTTCGCTATGGTTATAATGATGTAGTACCCTCCATTTGCATCGATTGTGACCAGCCCATCATCCCTTTACACTGCAAGTTCTCCTGCGGATGACAACCCCGACATAAATCCATCAACAACATTCTCCTAGATGCTCTCAAAACAGTTAATATCCCATTCACACTGAACCAATAAGCCTTTCAAATGAAAACGCCATACACTCCTATGATATATCCCTCATTCCCTGAACTAACGGTCTCCCACTGACTAGGTACTGGGTAATTCCATACCAAATCGATAACTTTTCGGCCCGACTTTTTTAATTTCGATAAAATTTTGTATGCTGAAAGAATATCATTTGAAAGCATCGAATCCAAAATTTTAGCTTCCTAGTACTCATAGTTCCAGAGATATCAATGGTCAAAAGTGTCAAAAATGACCTTTTTTCGAAAAATACGATTTTTTGAAACTGAGAGAAGTTAAAAAATAATGATTTTAAAAATATAAGTTATATGTCATTTTTTAACTCTATTAAAGGCCTTTTATTAAATATTAAGGATTTTTTTAAAATAATATTGTTGCGGTTTTTATTTACGTTATAAATTTTATACATAAAAATTCCAGGTGTTTCGCTTTCCAAATTTTTTTGAATTTAATATTTTCTTATTCTATAACCTTATATCTATTCATAAAAAAAATTTAAACTTGGGACAGCCATGGGTTTTTTAGTTATTACGATTTAAAAAATCAAAAAATAAATATTTTTTTCAAAAATAGATGGCGCTCCTTTATAAAATAACGTGTTTTGTTATAATTATTTTTTTATTTTT